AAGTTTACAGGGAATAATCTGTGTGTTTATTCGAACAGTGCGAGTACTCCGCGATCACAAAGGATATTCTTAATCAATTTAAAGTAATGCGCAAAGGTGTGACTCGAATGCGGAGTGGAGTATTAACATGCAGTGCTTACCGTGACAGGTTTGCTCACAATCGGCTTTTGTCAAGAAATTGTTCTGGTTGCCTTTGAGACCGTTATATTGGAACGTATTGCAGGTCATTGTTTGTCGATTGTAATACCAACGCGTGGCTGGAGGTGCTCGACCATCTGAGACACCCACAGCATATGGCATTCCCTGACATGCGGCTGGATTCGTTGGCTCACCTGGACAGCACTGATACTCGGCTGGTACCAAGCCCAAGTGGCACCAATAGCCGTCACCGCAAGCGTCGGCGCCGAATTGGCATGGTAGAGGGCGATTATTGCCCGCAAGCAGTGGAGTGCCAGATGGACAAACGTTCACATAGGCTAGAACATACAATAACAGATACGTGCACACTCATGATATGGATAACAAGTTTATAGAAATCAAAATTGCTGGGTGATTCAGGATGTGTTTCCTTTTTCGGAAGTTCAAGGTGCTCTTGAGAAGGCAAGTAAACGTGAACAGCACTCAGAGCTCACCGCGACACGTCCGTAGACAATCAGATTTGGTCAAGAAGTTGTTCTGGTTGCCCTTAAGACCGTTATACTGGAACTGATTGCATGACATCGTTTGTTGATTATAGTACCAACGAGTGGCTGGTGGTGCTCGTGGATCTCTTACACCCATCGCAGGCGGTAGCCCTTGACATGCAGCAGGATATGTTGGCTCACCCGGACAGCACTGATACTCAGCCGGTACCAAGCCGAGATGACACCAGTATTCCGCACCGCAAGCACCGACACCGAATTGGCATTGTCGGGGATAATTATTGGCCTCTAATAGAGGTGATCCAGATGGACAAGCGTTCACATATGCTACAAAAGACACTCGTGAGGTGCATCAAACGGTGCGATATCAGGATATATCTCTAAACGCATTTCAGCGGACTTCACTGCGGATATTTGTAATGCAATGCATGTTTATACGGATCCCGAACTGAGATTGCACACGTTTCGAAGCAGCAAATAGCACACCAACAAAATGAGCTTCGAACTTAGCTTTCGAACTGAACAGGTGATTATCTTGCAGTGCATTATTGCAGTGATGTTGAAGTGATATCGTGAAGGTGATTGAAACAGTGATAAATAAAAAATTGCAACATTTCAAAACGTGACTGCTCCATCAGATCACACAATCAATTGATCGTGAAAGATAAACGAGCAATAGTGTGCGAATTCAAAACTACTTACATGGACATGTCATTTGGCATTGTTGTATGGTCTGGAAGTTGTTTTGATTACCAAAGTAGCCACCGTATATGAACGGAACACACTTCCTTGAGTTAGGGTCGAAGTACCAGCGTTGAAGATTCCCATTACCAGCACCGTTGGTCATCGGTTGATTGCATATTGCTTGGCCTTGCACTGAAATCAACTGTTAGTCTAGTGGTTCTCCGAGTATGCCAATGATGTAAAATAAATAAGGGCTAATAGATTAGGTATTTATAATCATTAAACTTTTGAACACTTCATTTCCAGCTGTTAGGCGAAAGAGATGATTGTGGCACTATTTAATGAATTCATTTCGTTGCTCCACTCAGTAAGACCAAACATTGCCAACGTGAAGATTTTTCGAGTGGATTGTTGATGTTCATTCGGATATCTTTTCTATATCCGTATGAAGGAAATGCTCCAGGTTGTAAGTGATTACGAACCTCTCCCAGGGCAGCAAACTGTCGTTTGAGCTGTCGCACCAATATGACACCAATAAGATGCCCCACACACGCTTTGACCGTACATGCACCCAACTGGCTGGCCATCAGGAGTCATTTGCGGATTGCCAAGAGCACACGGGTTCTGCACCACTGAAACAGAACTTTTCGATTGACATGGCCTCAGAAGTGATTTGTAATTATCGTTTTTTGTAGAGTAGAACCAGGATTGTCACAAAATTTGTCGTTTCATCAATGTGATCTCTTACGAGATATTTCAGGTCAACAATGTGAGAAAATATGCATCTACAAATTGATGAAAGAAGGGAACATAAGATGCCGGATAATTCCTGAACAGCAAAAGATCGCACCATTACAAGTCTTTTCACAATCCTGTTGTGTCAGGAAGTTATTTTGTGTGCCCTTCAGACCTCGATATGCGAATGGAACGCACTGCTTTGTAGCAGCATTCCAATACCATCTCTGCAAGCTATAACGTCCCTGTCCTTGTGAGGGTCTCTGACCACACGGATCACCACCTGAAGAGTGGCGATAAACTTCTATCTTATTTCATAACGACGGATTCCCATCTCAGATTCTGAACGAACAAACTTCCGCTACTTCGTCAGTAAATGTGGACTTCCGTTGAAGATACGTATCCGGACTGCTTCACAATGAAATCAATCGAAGACTGCTCTTTTGAATGTGCAGGAACAACAAAAAAGCAACGCACAGCACACCAACAAAAATCAAAAACGAA